TGAGAAAATATTAAAGAACTTTTTAGTGCATGATTGAACTGGTGGGATACAAAGAGAATTTTTCAAAGAAAGCTCAAATACAAGAGTAAGTGGCATATGCCTTTTCCAGGGTGAACAATCAACCCAAGCCATCCTAGAGCTGTATTTTAACAAGCTTAGAAATGATAAGTCAAAAGCCTGTGGTCAAATAAGGTGAGAGAGGGTTTCTGCATAAAACATAGCTCCTAAAAAAACAAAAAATCTTCAGTACCTTAATGGAGGGGGAACCCTATATGCAGTGAAACAGGGGACATCTTTTACTTTCTCAACCTGGGTAACAGATGGGACAAGAGGATGAATAATTAACTATACCTTAAGATTTACATACAGCACTCATGTAATTTATACCTCTAATTCATATTACTTGTGTGGTTCAAATTTTAAATTTAATTGAACAGGTCCTGGTTGGTTTATGACCATTATGTGACAGAAGCAAATTTGAATCTTCCTTGTAACTATGAGCTTTCTACTCTAGCCTCAAAGAATTCACAAAAGTAAAAGCTCAAGCAACATTACTTCTTAAATCAATAATTTACCAACTACATAGGAGAAATTTCACCAAGAAAACAAGCCAGCAGCAAGCATCATAACAGAATTAGAGTTACATATTATATAATTCTAATTATTAGATAAAATATGTATTTCTAAAGAAATGAATATTGAAAAGGCATTTGAAAAAAGAGAGTATCAGAATTAACCAAACCGATTTGAAAAAGAACAGAAAGAACTTCAAAAATGATACATACAATAACTGAAATGAATAACATAGGAATGGATTAAATAGCAGATTAGTTATGGCTGAGATGGAATAAGTAAAACATAGAAATCAAAGAAGTTAAACAGATAGCTGGTCAGAGAGAAGGATGGGAGAAGTCACTAAGGTAGTGTGAAAAGGTATTAAAGATGCTTCACTGGGGTCCCAAAAAGCAAGGACTAGAGAGAATGAAAAAGAGCCATTTTGAGAGATAAGAGATAGAATCCAAGGAATTAGAAATTAAGCTATAGGCTTAGGAATTCCAAGAAAGAATTTTTATAAATTCATAGGTACAACTTCTTATAATGAACCTGAAAAACAGAAGAATTGAAGAGAAAATCTTGAAAGTATCCAAAAGAAACATTGTACAGATTGCTCACTTTTTACCAGAAACAGTGGAAAACTGGAAGACAGTGGTATTGGTCTGGAATCTTTTTTTGTCCACTGAAAATGTTTTTTTCAAGAAGGGTAAAATAAAGTCATTTCCTGAAGATACAAGAAGACTTTTGACAACCAAAAGACTCTTAAGAGTATATTTACAAAGTATTTTCTCTTTTTTATTTTTTCTGTTTATTTATGTATTATTTATTTTTTGGTTGCTGGAGATTTAATCTAGGATTGTGCATGTTAGGTAAACACTACCACAGAGCAACATCCAGCCCTAGAGAATGTTCTGCAGAAAGAAATCAAGATGCCAGGAGGATGAATGAACTACAAAAAGAAATAGGTCAAAGAATGTATTTATAAATCTAGACAAATATTGGTTGTTCAGAGTAGTATCGCTAATGGTAATTTCTAGGGTTAAAAAAATCCAAGTATAACTATAATCATAGAAAACTTATACATGGGTATAAGAGATAGATAATCAGAGTTCAGACATTCTAAAAAGTCTGCCTTATTTGAGAAATGAATAAAAAATTATTGATGACTTTAGACATCACATTTTTAGATATACATGATGAAATATCCAGGATTACCACTAAATTATACAATACATGATGATTGAACTGGCACAGGGTTGCCAAGGGAGATTATAGAAATGAATGTGAATGTATCCATAAACATAGCTCCTGTAAATGGATTTATCTACAGTTAAAGACAGTTTATCTACCTTTAAAAGAAACATTTTTTAAAAAGGCATAAGTAATCTGAACATAGAATGTTTGAAAGTAAAAAAATAATAATATACAAGTTAAATATTTACCAGATATCTTTTTGTTTTTTTTCTACAAGAGCCATAGACTGTTGCTACGAGTTCATAAATGGTTTGTTTCACTAGGAAGATTAATAATTCCATTCTAAATAGAAAGTTGGTAGAACTGTGAAGAACATTAACAAATTCAATAAACAAACTTAATATAACGGACACATAAAGAACAATCAAACAATATATAGCACATATTTTTCAAGCACAAAGAATGTTTATTAACACTGTTCATGAATTTGGCCATTTTTGTCTCACAAAATATAGGGAATTGACTCAGAAATTATGTTCTGTTATCAGAAGTAGTCAAGTTATTAATGTCAAAAAGCTACCGTATATATTTGAAAGTATTACTTGTAAGTAACTCATGGAGAAAATCAGAACAGGATTTTAAAATAGAGGCCCTTGTGGTCCATTTGTATTTGGCATTAATTAATAATAGATACATTGTAAGAAGAGTGGACTCACTAAGGGAATTAGACATTTGAATATAAATAACTTACACCATGAACTAACATACAATAAGACTAATGAAGAATTATAGTTAATAATTTCTAGATTTGGGGGGAAATTATTAGTTGAGCTTGGGGCTTACAGAAGAAATCGTTCTATTTTTCTGGTGATGAAAGTGATACGACCAGATACCAGAAGGACAAGATTATTTTGAGTACCTGAAAATCTAATACTGTGTATGACAACAGAAGATTGCCCTAAATATGATTTTTATTTTGCAAATCTGCAATCACATTTATAGCAGATATGACAGGAGAGTCAGTACAGAATTTAGATAAAGGTTATGAAAGTTATTCATAGAGCAAGAAATAAAAATAACAAATATTTTAAAAGACGGTCTGCATCAAATAGAGTCAGGGAAGGAACCAATTATGAGATATTGTTATGTCAGATGGGCCAGGATAAAAGAGACAGAAAAGCCCAGATCAAGGGTTTATGCACACAGGGTTTATCCAGATATTTTCTCTGCTTTTCATAGTGTCATTCATTTTGGCTTATTCTGTCTCTCCCCCTCCCCTTTAGCCATGCAAAAATTTTCCTGTTATGTAGTAATATTTTTGATCCCAAAAGTTTTCTATAGTTTTGTCATATTCCTTTCAAATGCTGTTAGCAATTTGACAATGTATTCTATGAACCTAGCAATTCTAGGAATTTATATCCAGGAGTGAAATGTGTATATGTGTGTGTGAATGTATATGTGTGTGTGAATGTATATGTGTGTATGTATAAAATTTAATTAAAATTAAATAAAATTAGAAAATAAGATAAGGTTGCATTAGCTACATTTGACATATATATATACACACACACACACATATATATAAAACCATTTAGTAGCCATTGTGTTAGTGAGCTTTGTGTAATTGTGACCAATGTATCTGACAAACAGCTTGGAGGAGGAAACGTTTATTTTGGCTCACAATTTTGTCAGTTAAGTCCATGATCAGCTGAGTTCATTACTCTGAACCAGAGATAAAGCAGAACTTTATGGCAGAAGGGTGTGGCAGAGGAAACCTGATCAATTCGTGACAGCCAGGAAGCAAATACAGTTTGAGTGCAAGAAGCCAGAGATAACATAATATGCAAGGACACATCGTTCTCATAGTCTAATCATTTCATCTCTGAACATTCCTTCATTGTCTCACATATGAGCTTTCTGGGGACACCTCACATCCAGCCATAACACCATTAAAATTATATGTAGATTAATATTTATATGAAAGAAAAAGCAATATATATCTTTTGTGTAAACTTGCATGTATACTATGTGTTGTAAGCAATAACTTGTTTATAGTTATGCGGACAGTAGTCATATCTCATGATAAATGTGGTGAGAGGTAACTGTTATATAACATAAAAAGCAGAGATGGAATTGGGGGCTTGAGTTTTAAAGTCACTATTCTGCTAACTATCCTGCTTCAGACATATCTCTTTACTTCTCAGGTCCTTCTACGGGTTCTCATGTTTTAAATTGAGGTGAGAGATGGGTATTGGACTTCATTAGCATTAACAGTTCTGCATAATGGTAGTCATTGCCTCTGTCTTCTGCAACATGACAGACAGCAGTCTTAGTATTCTTTCTCTGGGCTCAGTTCTGCCTCACCATTCTTCCCAAAACAATGTGTTAATTCAGGACTTCTAAATAGATTGTGCTTTGTACATGAATCTTCTTTGCCATCCTTTGACAAAACCAGATGATCTTAGAAGTTCTTTCAGCTGGAAGATCTTTCTAGTCAAGGAACAGAGCTGTTGTGGCAAGAAATAATAGGGAATGCCTTTCAAGGCCAAAGAAGAATTCTAGCAGCCCCATTTAAAAAAAAAAAAAAGTGAAAACAAACAGGTGAAATAAATCTTCATAATGTTTTGTTTAAAATATTTCTATAGGCAATTGATTTGAAACAGTTATTAATGAGATATTTGCTTTTTATATAGAACCTTTGTAACCCACTGTGTTTAAAGCACATACTATTCTAGATAATAAATTTTCACTGGAAATACTTGATCTGTATTTAAGTTGACAGTTTAAAAAGCATATTTTCATATCTACATTCTTAACTTTCATAATACTTAAATTATTAGGTTTTTAAATTTAATTAAAATTAAATAAAATTAGAAAATAAGATAAGATTGCATTAGCTACATTTGACATGTCCCCAAACCACACATGGCTGATGGCAGCCATATTGATTGCCTTATTGGTTTGGAGAATAGAAATAAACATGTGGTTTGGTTTTAGCCCTTAAGGAGATTTTCTTTTTGAGACACTGAGATATCAAAAATAAACATATCAAGAATATAATTCAAAATAGCATAATTAAGTGCTAAAAATTTGCCATAGACAGACTAAGTGATACTTGGGTAGGAAGTTCTAGAAACATCCACAGCTGGATACTTTCCTTACCACTTTGAAGTCTGAGTGTTGGCAATGACTTGTTGAGTTTGTGAGAATAGAGTGTCTTACTTTAGAAAGTGTGTGTGTTTTGCCTGCAGGCATGGGACCCGCTGTGCTGGAGAAGTGGCAGCCGCTGCAAACAACTCTCACTGCACAGTTGGAATTGCTTTCAACGCCAAGATCGGAGGTATGGGAAACAAACTTAGATATAGACATGAACCAGGCAACTATTCTGCTAAATAGTTTTCAGAATTCTTTTAAAACTAAGGATGGGCATATTTTTGCATGACAGTATTCAACTCTTGCTGACAGTAAAAAACAAAACAAAACCAAAAAAACACGTTAACATGGGTTGTTCAGTATAGTTAAGGATTGCTGATGCTATACGTGAAAGTATTGCAGACACATCGTTTTTGAACAGGCTTAAAAAAATGTTATTCAGTAATGAAGACAGGGTTATTGGTATCTATACTAAAACACAAACTTGGTGCCTGTTTCTAAAAGAACTAATAGTAGAAACATCAGGTAATCATGTCTCTATAGAATGAGGTGTTTTGAGGTTCTTCACAGCAGATAATACTTTTTTGTGTGTTGTGTTGCTCAGGATTTAAAAAGGGTTCCTTTAACTATAATTAAAGCAGTAAGAGTAAAATCTTTGAAAGTCTCATAATGTAGTGATACTGTTTCCATGAATGATTTCAGATGCGCAAACTCAGATATACATAAGTTTGGTATAAGGGTCCCATAAATGCTGTGTAAATCCAAGTATTGATAAAAGCAAACTCTTAACTTTCTCATTTCTCATTTCTCTTTGTAAGCAATAACCATGTGCCACAGCTACATGCAAATGGGAAGAAAAGGTTATATACAGAGCCTGGTGACTGATCAATATGCCTGGCCTGAAGGCATTCCCATAGGGTCTGCTGAAAGGTCTCCCATAAGATGAATGAACTTTCTGAAACCAGGCTGACCTCCTTGTTTCCAATGTGTCATTTGTTTCCATGTTATACATAGAGTTGGAACTAACAATTTTAGATGGCAACCCTATCCAAGATAAAAATTTAAATATTTAGGGAACTGTAGTGTCCCCTTATCTCAGATTCCATTGGATGTCTGAAAGCACTGAGAGAACTGATCCCTGCATATTTTTTGTCCTATATTTAAATACTAACAATAATGTTTATCAATTAGGCACAGTAAGTGATTAACAATAATAACTACTAATAAAATAGGACAGTTTTCACAATAAGCTATAAAAAAGTTATTTAAAACATGAATTATTTCTGAAATTTCCATTTAATATCATCAAACCTTGGCTGTTGTCAAATCAGGGAAAGCAAAGCCACAGATAAGAGGGGACAGTGATATACAACAACAGTGCTAAGAAAAGGTTTCCTGAAACTACCTTGAATTTCAGTCCATGATAAATTTGATCTTTTCCTTTCGTTTATTTCACCCTGAATTCTTAGGATATGACAGTTTACTGACCAGTAATTAGCTGCACTCAGGAATACCTGCTGTGTGTCAGGGGGAAGGCCATTGGGGAGCTAAGGAAAGGAAGCCAAGGATGCTCCCTAAAGGATGATGGCCGCTGGAGGCCCCTGCTCATCCCAGAGTCCAATCAGGAGCCACCTGGTGAACCTGTCTTGCAGCCCAGGACTTGTCCTCACATACAGACTTAGACCCTAGATCCCACAATTATACTCTAGCACAGACTCAGCACTCTTACTGACCTTGAAGGAATGAGAGCATGAACTTGTGAACTCAGATAAACTGCTGACCTAGCTGAACAGTACTTTATTTAAAAAATGAATGTGTGGCGATGACTCAAGAATGTTCTAAACAAGAGCATTCTGAATCATAAACTTAACCCCTCAAGCCCATGAAGGCATGGAGTTAAATGAGAAAAAGAAGCAGTCTTTCATCTATAAAGTTGATGAATTTTTTTGTGTGAGTTTTTAAGACAGAAAGCCATTACCTTCTAAATGCAACTTAGTCTTTCCCCCCTTTTTTTTCCGTATACTTTATGTAGATTACAACAGAAGTTGAATTGAGGTGTTGTGTTGATATTCTCATGTTAGCATTTGCACACACTCGTGAGATTATTAGTTATTAGCAGTTATAGTGGTTTTTTTTTCAGACCTCAATGTACTGGTAAAAGATTCATTTTAGGCTTTTAAATAAAAAGTCAGAGGGAGGGGCATGGTGGTACCTGCCTGAAATCTCAGCAGCCCAGGAGGCTGAGGCAGGAGAATTGTAAGTTCAAGGCCAGCCTCAGCAATTTATCGAGTCTCTAAGCAAGCAACTTAGCAAGACCCTATCTCAAATATAAAATAAAAAATGGGCTGGGGATGTAGCTCAGCATTTAAGCACTTGTGGGTTCAGTTCCCATTACCAAAAATCAAAAAGTAAGAAGATGAAGTATTTTTTTTTTGTCATTACAAAATGGAATGATTAAGTTTGAATATTTATATTAAATTAAAAGAAACCAATGGCTATTCAGGACTGAGTACATGCAGAGTATTATCCTGTGTTTTCTATGGCCACAAAACAAATTACTAACAGACTAAGTGTAGTTTTTATCCCATAATTTTTAGACTCATTCACAACCTTCATTCTCTACAGTACTTGTAATTATTTTCTTTTAAAAGTCCAAAAAGTCACAATGTCATACAGTAAAACTTAAGTATGTGCAACAACTATGTACCTATTAAGAATAATTAAAAAAAAAAAAACAAAAACAGAACCCAAAAGTCTAGAAGCAGAGAATTTGAAGGCATAACAACCAAGTGTAGTGTCTATAGGGATACTTGGACGATTTAATGTTGGCTGGGTGTGAGATGACAAATAGTTTAACCGACTATTTGTATTGTTTAAATGAAGAAAGTGAGGCAAAATTTTAACAGTTTCTGAGTACTGGCTCTATGTGTATTCATTGTTCATTTTTTCCTATTTTTTATTTGCAAGTTTTATAGTTAAACTTTTTAAATGAAGTAGTCCCAATTCAACCACATAATACCCAAAGCTACCTGATTTGAGGCTTTAATATTTAGTCTCTGTTTATTAATAACCAATAAAAACTTAAAATCCTACTGAGATAACAGTATTTTCCTAAAGAGTAAGTTTGCCATGTAATGGTAATAATTTTAAAATAATACAATGTCTCAGTGATGATAAGTAGTTTTAACTGAGGAGGAGCATATTTATTTACCAATAGAATGTTTTGTTAGATTTCTGTTATTTTGTTAGTTTGATTGCATAAAATGAAAAAAAAAAAAAAAAAGGAAGCCTGGAATTTGGCATGTAACTTATTTCTGATTATCTTAGTGTCCTTTTGCAAAAAAGAGTTAATAAATTTCTACTGTCTGATAGAAACATACTTAAATCAAGATTAATAGCTAAACATTGCAAAAACCCTTTGAGAATTATCTGAAGTGTTAAATGCATTCTCATTTATTATTTGGCTTGTAAATAACTTGGCAGAAAAGACATATATTAAATTCAAATCAATTTTAAGATTAGAGGATAGTATTCAATATGGAAAAAAGGAGACCAGCCTAACTTGGCAGTTTTCCAAGTTTTATAAGTCTGCCACGGTATATACCAACTAGGAACATGAGATATTCAGTGAAAAGAAATTTTAGGAAAGGTTGATGGTTTGAAACTCTTTGTCAAATACTCAAGAGTGGGATGAGAAGGGAGAGATTGTGTTTGCCGTTGTAGAAATTAGAACTGTAGGGGGTGATAACAGTGGAATAAAAAAGATTTTAAAGAAGTCTTACTCATTGACATGCAATTTAACTTCCTTTCTCCCCAAAATGACTTCTACAAAGCAAGCATTATACTTTTATAAGGGAAAATATGCTTACTAAAGTGTTGATTAAAGATGTTTTCTTTTACCCCCAAATCCTATATCTGGGTTACTTGGGTATCATGTAGTGAAGGCTCTGTAACTAGCTGGTCCTCCTTTCTGTCTTGAAGGAGTACGAATGCTGGATGGAGATGTCACAGACATGGTAGAAGCGAAATCAGTTAGCTTCAATCCCCAGCATGTGCACATTTATAGTGCCAGCTGGGGACCAGATGATGATGGCAAGACTGTGGATGGACCAGCTCCCCTCACCCGGCAAGCCTTTGAAAATGGCGTCAGAATGGTAGGTTTTTAAAGCACGAAAGCTCATCCAAGGTGGTGATTCTCATATGAAGACTTTGTGACCATCTCACCCTCCAGGTTAGAAGAACGGATGGAGCTCAAGGGTTGGGACAGTAGATAGATTAATGGAAAGAGGTGCTGTTGTTTCTCTTCTTCCTGCCAACTAAGAGCTAGAGAAGTTCCTCTGATGAGAATAGAGGTATGCTTATATTAACTCAAAGGAAGTATATTAATTAATATGTTCAACTTGAGTTTGGAGAAGCAGATTCTTGGGGCTGTGAGGTTAAGTGGGGATGTTAACATTCTTCAGCTAGTGCTGATAGATTATCCAGTAATACCTTTTGGCTACCTACTTTTGTCATCCCTTTCCTAGTCTCACTTCTGTCTCAGGATGATATTATTTTTCCAATGGCTCCCAAACTCCCTGACCAAGTAGCTTAACCCATCTTGTGTTCCTTGATTTCAATGAAAGATTCACTGACTGCTGTCTTCCAATAAATGGACTACGTAAACTAATGTGATAAAATGTCTGTTTCAAATTTCTTTAAAAATTCTTATTCAAATTAAATAAAAATGAGGATTTTGCTACTTATAATCATAAAAGGAGAGCTCAAGCAGAAGCAAGCTGTTTCTTATGTATGCATAGACCTTTATGTGGTTTAAAGCATATACTGAGTCATGTTCATTGGAGGCCATCATTGGTCTGGCCCTAAACATCCTTGCCTTCCTCATCTCTTTTCTCCTTCATCATATAAGCAAACTTCACCATTAGTATCCATTATCACATACTGCTTTTGGCAATTCCCTGCTCTTTCACCATGGCACTACACCCTACCCTCCAAGTCCTCACACTTTTGCCCAAATCCTGCTTGGTCTTTAAGCTTCAACTAAAAGGTCACCTCTTTCCAGAAGCTTCTTACTGCCCAAACTAGAAGTAAGTGTAATTAAATCTCTATTCTGTGATCCCTATTCTTTATATTTTTACTGATGTTTTATAGAGTTGTCATCTCATATTGTGTGTTGTTTCTAAGTGTATCTTCTTTGCAAAATCTTCAGTTCCTGGAGAGTAGAACTTATTCCAAACATCTTCAAGAGTTTTGCAAAACCTAGATGGCTCACTGAATTCTAGTGAGCACTCAATTAAGTGTGTGTTGAATTAAGTTTAATTTACTGCAAATGATACTAACTATAGAGTTGTTATGTATTCTTCCCAGGTTTGGAACAGTGGAATGTAGTGAGTTGATTAATGTAGTGCTGAAGTAGGAGTAAAAATAATGTCTCCCACATCTTTGTGGAATTGGTCTTAGGATTTTAACAGAAGACTGAGTTAAGCTGTTTCCTGGTTATTCTGAAATAGACTGGAGGGGGAAATTATGTATTTTTTTGTGGGAGCTTCCTAGATAAATGATAGTTCATGTTTGGTTAAGATTTGACTTTTCTAATTTTCTCAATTTTCAACTACATCAGAGCCCTCTTAAACTGTAGGATAATGTTTTAACGGTTGTCTAGAATTTTTCTTTCCAAGTTTCTTCATCTAATGATTTCATTATCATAGGTGTAGACTACAAAATACTATTCTTGCTCACTCTGACATCCACAGAATGGTTTTTAAGTTAAGTAGACCAAACTTAGTTCGTATTTAACCTTCAAATTGTATTTGTATGTTGCCTATACTAAAGAGAAACATGGAATTTCTTATAAATATATAAATATTTGTATTAGTAATGCACAGTCTCATGACTGTACATGTACATGTGATAAAAGGCTGTGTATCCAATAGCTGGTTTTACTAAGATACTGCAAGGCCTGCCAGTGACTAGGTAACATGAACCAAAGGATGTCACATTTATTTTGCTGGGGAATTTATTGTTCCATAGAAATCTCAACAGCAAGCTTAAATGTGTAAAACAAACAATGGAGTGCTTTGGTTGAAAGGAGAGTGAAAAAAAGTTAAGGTTAGAAATGAGATCATGTGCTAAAACCACTAGAACACAGAGGAGTACTATACTGAGAAGTAAATAATGTGGAAAAATGTACATTCATTATTAGTTACAAAAATAACCTTGTGCTTATTATGATAGGTCATGTACAAAAAAATGTATGAGGATGAATTAATAATAGATTTCCTCATTCATTTAGGTAACAATGCTGGGAGTATACAACACATCTTTCTGTACTTCTACACACATTAACAACCCAGGATCATTTTATACATCTGTATGCTGCTGTTTTCACATAATGGTATCCCAGGGGCATCCTTTCAGAGCAACCCATAAGGATAGAGCTCATTTGTTTTATTTATATCAAAATTTGGGGAATATAGAGCTACCAGAACTTTGGTGCTGAGGGCATAGTTCAGTGTTAGAATGCACAAGGCCCCAGGCTCAATTCCCAGCAGTCCCCCACAAAGGGAGAGAAAAGGGAGCAGGGAGTCAGAGGGAGAGATACAATAATTTATTTGATATTCCGTTGAGGAACTTTCAAAGTTTAATTCTCAACAAAAAGACATTTAGTTTTAAAATGAACCATTAACTTTTAGAGTTGAAGAAGTAACAAAAGAAATGACTTTAATAGGATTATTTTCTGACTTCTAGCATTTCATATAAAAATATGTAAATGACAAAAAACAGGGTTAACCCATTGAAGTAATGTCAACTCATTAGCATTCTCATATAAGTTAGGCTAAAGTCATATCCAACACCTGTCATACACTTCTCTCTGACCTTATATAGATCAAGGTACTTCTCAGCTTCCATTTTCTCATCAAAATGAGGGCAATAATAGCACTCACTATGTTCAATAAAAGCATTTCTTTTTTTTTTCTTTTTAATTTTTTATTGTTGGCTGTTCAAAACATTACATAGTTCTTGATATATCATATTTCACAATTTGATTCAAGTGGGTTATGAGCTCCCATTTTTACCCCATATACAGATTGCAGAATCACATCAGTTACACATCCATTGATTTACATATTGCCATACTAGTGTCTGTTGTATTCTGCTGCCTTTCCTATCCTCTACTATCACCCCTCCCCTCCCCTACCCTCCCCTCTTCTCTCTCTGCCCCCTCTACTGACATTCGTTTGTCCCCCTTGTATTATTTTTCCCCTTCCCCTCACTTCCTCTTGTATGTACTTTTGTATAACTCTGAGGGTCTCCTTCCGTTTCCATGCTTTTTCCCTTCTCTCTCCCTTTCCCTCCCACCTCTCATCCCTGTTAGCTAGACTGTGGAACCAACCTAGATGCCCTTCAATGGATGAATGGATAAAAAAAATGTGGCATTTATACACAATGGAGTATTACTCTGCATTAAAAAATGACAAAATCATAGAATTTACAGGGAAATGGATGGCATTAGAGCAGATTATGCTAAGTGAAGCTAGCCAATCCCTAAAAAACAAATGCCAAATGTCTTCTTTGATATAAGGAGAGTAACTAAGAACAGAGTAGGGTCGAAGAGCATGAGAAGAAGCATTTCTTTTTTTAAAAGAAAAATCATTTCTTTCCAAAAAACTCCTATGCTTGTCCTCAGTCGCCCATTCTTCTCTCCTTGACCATATCTACCTTGCAGAGTTCTAGATGAATCCCTTAGTTACCCAAAAGGTAGATCAGAAAGAATAAGGTATGCATTATCACAGACTTTCTGAGTTCTGTGGTGTCATTTACTTTTTCTTCCTCTGTCTATACTTGCCTTCGATTTTACTTGCCCTTAAAAAAAGCATCTTCAATTTCATCATGATCACCTCTGGATATATAACTCATTTCAGTTATCTATGTGAGTAGTCTTGAATTCAGTTTATATTTTCCCAAAGGATGTTTCTCTGAATATCTATGAATATGTAATTTAATATTTTAAGCAGTATATTAGATAGTCTTTTCCAGGAAAATGAAAACTTTTACTATTTTCTCTGTTATCAGGCATCAAGTGAGACTGTAAATTTTATGTTCTTTGCAATCATTCTAATTTATGTTTGTATATAATATATAATACCCAGGAAATAGTTGGATGAAAAACTTTATACAAAGTTAGATTATGGAGTGTAAAAGAAAAATAAATAAGTAGTGTGTTGGCTGTGTGATTTAAGGCATGAAGGAATAAATGGTTGATACAATAATTCCTTCAGTTAGCTAACTGAAAACCTATGCAACAGTCCAAAGTCACTCTGTCCTATCAAAGTTTAAGTAAATCATCTGTAAAAATACAGGAACTGGAAATTACTTATCCCTCCTATTAAATTTAGTGAGCTCCAACTTTCTATTCAATGTAAATTAAGGAATGAAGAAAAAACATCTAAATTTTACATGTAATATATTAAAATCCCTCCATTCTAGCAACAAGACAGAAAACAAACAATCAAGCTCCATCAGCTGAGGATAGGTGGGATGAATGAAATAAAACTAGGGGCTGGGGGAAGGCAGGACTGCTTTCATGGAAGGTCAGGATATCCTCTTTGAAGAGGTGATAATTGAGACATATATGATAATAAGGCAGTCGTGTGAAGAACTAGGAGATGAATGTTCTACACCAAAGGAGCAGAAAAAACAAAGAACCCTGATTAGGGAGAGATTTCAGTGTATTCCTGGAACAGAATGCTGATTTGGACATAGGGAGCAATCTATAGGGAGCACCGAAAGAGTGGTGAGAAATGGGTTGGAGGTGTGGGTAAGGGCCAGCTCAGCAGAGTTTTCTAAACCATGGAGAGGGGTTGCATTTTGTTTTGTTTCAGAAATGTACTGGAGGTTTTAAGCCATAGTGCCCCGATCCGATACACAGTTTTAAAAGATCACTGCTCTGTGGATAGCGAAGTTTATGTGGCGTAAAGGGTGGGGAAGCAAGAGTGAAAGATTGAAAGGCCATAGGACAGACTTGAGCTGGGTAACAGCAGTGCCAAGATCACCAAGGAGATCAGGCAGCAATAGAGGTAAACCCAAGTATCAAGAGGTAATAAATATATTTTGCTCAGGGAGCCCAAGTATTGATTGCATCCATTCCTTCTGT